AGCGAAAAAACTGTCCAAAAATGATGACGTCAAATTTTCAAACTCAATTTTTGGCAATTCTAGAACTCGTAGAGCAAAACGAAGACCACCATTAGACTCCCCGTGACGAGCTGCATCGAATCGATACCCATTTTATGCAAAAATATCAACTTTGAAATTTGACCTAATTTGACCTGACCTTGACCTGACCTTCACAAAAACGTGACCTAGGCTGGCCCCAAAGGCTGCCTAACCCACATAATCGCATTTGTCATGTAAAATGGACCATAAAACATGTATCACACGACACATTCATATTGTGACCCCCGGTGACCTGACCTCGCTGTGACCTGACCTGGTATCAGTGACCTCAGATAGCAAAGTATGTGTTTGACGAACAATGTACCATCGATGGTTTTCAATAAATTACCAATTTACTCGCTTTCACAGCACATTTCTTGAATTGCCTGTGAACGGTGAAAATCTGACCTTTGACCTGACCTGTGACGTCATCGGTTTGACCTAGGTCAATGAAATTTGGTCACAAGGTAGTTCCCGGGTGGGGCTATCGAACGCCGTTTGAATTTTGAAAATCGGCCGGTAACTTTCCGAGATCTTAGGGGGGGGCCGAAACGGCCCCCCCCCTACGGGTGGTAGGGTCCGCCGGTAGCCCTACGGGGCGCGGGTTAATGTACCCATATTCATTCAGTACTTTGAAAGTTCGATTACTTATTCTAGGGAGTTAAATGTAGTCAGCCTGTCGAGACCAAGGTCAATATGTCGAACTAGAGACATTGGGTAAACGTTAGACAGCTCATTCGCAGTAGCAGTATTGACTATGTCTTTCACAGGCGACATTATTCATTGCTAATTAATGCAAATTCAATAGCATCCGGATAGAAAAGCGAGCTTCCATTGTTCGCAATACAAGCCAACAATTCGCTGAAGCAACTATGGCTTTTAAAACGACTAAAGCGCATTTGTTTCGGTCTCTCAACCCGCTGAGAGTTGTTCATTAAGTTAATTGTGAGCACGACCTTATGCCAAATGAATCTAAGAGTAGGAAACTTATTTCATTTCCGGCCATTCATTAAGAACGGCAGTCGGTTCCAGTTGCTGGCAAGTGGCCCGCTCTCGTCCTATCCCGGATGCGCCAATAGCTTACCGTGGAATCATTTTGCATTGTACACCTCGGCTCCTTGAAATGCTTGATGGGACGCGTGACATGCGAACTGCCTCAGTGAGCGCTGAGAAACAGCTGGTCAGTCTCCCATCATTAAACGGTCTTCGGATGTCCTAACGAAGTGGCCAGAATTGGCTCCCTCTTTGGCACACCTAGTGCGAGACTGACGTTCCTACTTCCTGACTAGAGTCGCAGAGCTCCTTATTTGTTGCAATGGCTGAGAGGTGTGCGTTTTGGAGCTACAAATGAAAATTGATGACAATTGTTATGTGTGTGACAAGAAATACCACTGGGACGTGTAAACGTGAACGAGCTGCCGGGATATGAGGCCACTTTTGCCATAGTACCAGTCGAGACTACCTGATCACTCGCGTCGAAGGACACGTAGGACGTCGTCGTCGTCTTAGTTTGCGACTCTCGCTAGCCGTCGTATATCCCACCGAATTCGAGACATACATTATACATTCTTCACCGACGCTATTCCGCCGCCCAATAAGCCTAGCTCTCGGATCCTGACCTCCCTCTGGTGCCGGTGAACCCTCACGATCAGCGCCGCTTCAGCGTTAGAATGTGTCGGTAGATCAGACGCTGCTGCTACCGGCCGGAGCGGTGGGAGTTCAATATCGGACGGGCAGGCGGGCGGGCGGAGTGAGCGGGAGTGGCGCTGACCTCCCCCCCCCCCCCCCCAGGAGAGGAGGAGTAACCGTGAGAGATGAGAGGTTGTTTGTTTCCCGCCACTGACGGGCCCTGGACACGGTGTCTGGTATATGCTCTCGGATAGCAATGCTCGTTGTTTAGGTGCTCCCGACTGGGGCACACCCGCTAACTTTGTTAATGTCAGGCTAACTTATGTTGCATCCTGGCGAATATTGATTCGGGAGGCGAGTTCAAGGTCCGGGTACGTTTAGGAGGGGGCGGCTAGTAACTGCACCTAGATTGGTAAAGGAGGTCGAGCGGAAAGGATTAGCGGTTAGACCTTTACTTCGTCTTACTTCGTAACAATATTAGCTTCATGTATTGAGTTATTGAATGGCCAACTAATAAGAACCTGACGTTTTATGAAGAGTTTGAAATCAACTATCATAAACTTTATGAAGTAAATAACGTTTAATGAAAGTTTGATATTAGCTACGATAGTTCTACCTTGATGACCAAATACTCTCATTGAGATAGAAAATTGATGTAAGAAAGTGATATTAAATGCTGCATTCGGGTTATTATGTTTTTGTCCACATTTTCTGTGAGATCAAGGGCCGTCGTCGGAAATTAATTGGCCGGCTACCGAAATGAAAGACCGAGTCAACATTCTTCTTACGGCACTCGGCAGGGCGTGTCGTGGCCATTTCGGCTGGATATCGCCATGCTGAATTCTAGATAAAACCTGAGTGTTATTTTATTTCGGACATGTCGTGTGGCGGATGGGTGCTTAATTGTTTCGTTGGTTTTTCTCTGGCTGAAGTTAGTCTTTCGTTTACAAAAGCCTTTCGCTCGACCAGTTGGTAACATCACACCTCATCCAACATCGTGTTATGCGTGCGTGTAACTTCTTCCTGCCCGGCTGATGTTTGCCTGGACCACGTCTAACCATGGCACCATCACACTACGCGACACGGTGACACCGCGTCTGACCAAGTGACATCATGACACCTTGTCTATCATGGCACTACATCGCAGTTACATTGTGACAGGGCGTCTGATCGTAACTCTCCGCATCTCGACAGAATGTTTATGTTTATCGTTAACAAGCACCAACAGGCAGCATGCCCGATAATAGGTGCAGTCATGCAGTTAAAATGACGCCATGACTGACTGACCCTGTCTCCGCTCCTCAGGTGATGAACAACGGTCACCTGGCGTCGGTGACGCTCTACCAGCAGGAGGAGGCGTGACGTGGGCCTCTGGCCGGCTAGCTCAGTACCATCACCGCCACCTTAGCGGCGACAGCGGCGGCAGCGGTAGTGACAGCGGCAGTGACGGCAGCGGCAGCGGAGGTTCGTTGGTCAGGTGCGTACAAAAAGACACCGCCGCCGGACGAGGAGCGGAGCCGCTCGCTCGCCGCCGTGTCGCCGCTCTGTCGTCTGTCCGCCACGGAAGGGATTCACTGTCAGCCGCACCATCCAGCGGCATCCAGCGCTTTCACACAGATATATGAGGCGTCGAGCGCCCCACAGAAGGCTGGGCACCTGTACTGGGCGACGTCAGCGAGCAGCAATCAACACGACGAGAGAACTGGGGTCTGGACTGTGCCCGGTAGCCCGGGCACCGGAGCAGACGCTCTACAGTATCAGAGATCACGGCAGCATCGATTGGCTATTGAGCGAGTAGAGAGAGACAGCGTGGAAGTCAGAAGGTTCTGGGGGAAATATGATCGCGTTGGTCCCACTGGCCTAAGTCAATGTGTTCTGAGAAATGCGAGTTGAGTAAGGAAATGAGTTATTAAGTCAGATAAGACGGAGAGAATGCACCCTGGATGGTTCTTCTCGATCGTCTGAAAACCAACAGAGGCGTTACAGGCTGCCAGCAGGGCCCGGTGGCCCGCTCTCGACACTAGTTAGTGCTAGCTTTAGGTAGAATATTTTGCGCTTCGTCACGGTCGTCTGTACGTAGAATATCGCGTAGTTTGCTGTGCGCAATGTGTGTCGATATATGAAGTTTTCCTGAGTTGTTACCAAGATATGCATTACCTCTGGACAGTGGCGGTGGAGAGGCGACGGCCTGTCGCTGGTGCCCCGGCTTGCTGGTCGGTGCTGAGCCGATAGTATGTACTTGCGCCGGTGTGCACGGGGGTTATATGCTGCCATGACGGTTTGTGTTTACTGTGGAGTGGGAGCCATCTGTACTGACCCGTGACCGGCCGGTTGGTATGGAGGGTCCCAAGACACGCGTTATTAGTGAGTTACCGGTGTTTGACTATAGGCCGGGTCGTGCACGACTGTGCGTCTGTCTGTGTGTTTGTCCCGTGCCCGGTCGCTCCCCACCCAGTCATGTTTATGAATCAGTGCCTACACCGGTCTGCTAAGTCTGTCGCTCTGTGTGGTTCTCGTTTCCGTTCGCACTCTAACGAACTTGTGCTCGTCTGGAACCCACGGAAACCGGCCATGAAATGACCTGTATGTGCGGGGTCGGTTCGTGTCATCGGTCTCACATGGATCGCTCGAAGGTCCGGTGCCAGTTTCGGTTCTCTCACCGCAATAGTCGCCCATGTCACGGTGCTTGTGCGGCCGTTATATAACAGAGCCGGCACACGCACCGTGCGCTGTCTCACAGGATCTCGTCTGGGCCGTGGGGTCGCAGTGGGGTGTGAATGCTCCGCGACGTTAATAAACGGACTTATTTTGCTACAGAGTGTTGCACGGCAACCCGGCGGGAGGAGGAAACTTGGCGAGATGGCGGAACCGACGGAAAAGTTTGTCAGCTAGCGAGGTAAACTTCATTTTCTTGGCGGCGTTTTTCCGACTATACGGCGCTAGAGTCAGTGGTGGGGTGTTGACAAATATGCCACCGCCTGGGATATGAGCCGGACACTTATCTCGCTAATTCAACACACTTGACACGCACAGCAAAAACACGGAGACGGAACACTCCGCCAATATTCTATGTTGTCCGGGACACGAGTGCTGTTCTTGTCCGACTGCGCACCAGTTCAACAGGAAAGTCGCAGACAGTTATGTAACAGGCGGTATCTTTAGACGGCAGTTTGATCTCATGTATCATAGCACGTTGTATCTAGTTTGTTTAATCCATCTTGCGTGCTGACGACTGTCGAGTTTTGCGCTTACAACCAAGTTCGAGCGTCGAAGTGCGATCTAAGGCATCATGTCCCGAGCTCTTACATGGCAACTATGTATAATGTGTATTGGTTATGCGTTTGAGATGATGATACAGTAACAAGTGTACAGCATCAAAATAAGATCCATTCGGTACGTCATCTCGCCACGACCATAGCTCGGGTGCGAACTGCGCGATAAGTCTCCTGTCAATACCTAACGTTAACGTTCGTGTCAAAACTTGCGAATTATTAACAAGTGACAACACACATCTCGCTGTGTCAACAAACATTCACTCATAATTTACGTTCTAAGTTATAATTGATGTTCCTCGTGCTTGACGTTGCTGTAACTAGTCATTCCACGTAGCATGCTCCCAACCCGTCAAAACAACATTCAAACAGGGTCACGCATCGACTTTAAGCACGAATGTTTTAGATATGTTAGCAATGCTGGTCCCTTCAGCAAGCGCAAGTTGGCACCGGGGGTCACCTCAAAGCCCCTTTTATCAGACATCACAGTCAAACACTCGTTGTGGACTGCGTGGACCACGCCCACCACGCTGGCCACGCCCACTTCATGGCGCCATGCCCACCACATGAAGCCACGCCCACCACGTTGACCACGCCCATTAGAGCATGTGGGACGTACTTGCACCTTCTCTTCTCATCTGTCATCTATACTCATCACTCCGCAGTGCCTCGTTGTGAAAAGTCCTTACTTCCTTCCTTCTCTTGTGATTTTCCGTGATCTATGCAGATTGCAGATGGCCGGTGATAAGGACTTGGTGCTGGTGGCAGACTTTGTTCTTTTTGTCCGGGCTGTGATGACTTCTGGGATCGCGATGTTGCAACTGCACTTATCGCTACTCTGTGAAACAAAACGGCACATTGTTTGTAAAACGCCGTCATATCTAGGCATACGTATCAGTGACCGGCATCGGATGGGTAATGGGCAATGGGCATGTCACGCTTCTGTCACTAAATGAGCATTTCATTTAACGTGTCAATGGGCCACCTAGTTATTTCTTCGCGTTGGTCGTCCCAAAACCGATTGTGCGCTACCGGTATTTTACTGATGTGGAGATTCTGTCACACTTGTTTTGCGGTGCAGCATCCGCAGTATGGGTTATGCTGCACCGCAACACATTGCTCAACCGAAACGCCGCGTCTTCGCAATTCGTATAACGTTTGCAATCCCCCCACCCCACCCCACATCGTTGCAGGACAAGGCAGCCCACGGTTCTCGCGCCCTCTGTTGACTCACCCTTGACTCTGTGACTCTGCGTCCTCCCTGGTGACTCAGTACCTCTCCCGGTACGGCTCGGATGGGGCCTTCTCAGAGGGCTGGTAGCCCCACTGTTTCTGCCAGTGGTGAGTCCAGTAAAGCTCCCCGTTCTCCTGGGCTCGGTGAGCGTCCTTGCACACCCAGACACAGTAGACCAGGCAGAAGATGAGCGCGCAGAATCCACCGATCAGCAGCGCCAGACCGATGAACCTGTGTGGCAAGTGTAGGACAGTCAGGAGGATATCAGACAGCGACCAAAATGTTTAATCAGCTTAGTCTGTGGTCAGTTGGACGTCCAAATTATAATATTTGCCGTTCGTTCGCTCCCAGAAGTCCGATGCTTTCATGAACGAGTTCACACTGCAGGCACATAAATACTTTGAGACAGGTCAGACAGATTGTTATTATAGTTCGTTTTTCTTAAGTTCGACCCTCACTGTAAACATCTTTTTGGAAACAGCACGAGAATGGCTAGCTGAATTACTGAGAAAACTCGTTGGCGCACAATGATTTCGCAAACGATCAATTGTATCAAAATTCTTTCTACCTGGCTTCTTTTTCCCAGCCTCGCAGCTCGGTATTTGCAGCCCCACAAGTATCGAGGAAATGTCAGAAAGTATAAGTAATTTAATTGATAAATCGCACGGCGTTTAGCGTAAAAGTATATCATTGGTGTTAGAAACTTATTTGGAATATATTAATTCATATCTCCAGTACAAAGTGCGCTAACCAGTTTTCTCAGTAATTCAGCTAGCAATTCTCGTGCTGTTTCCAAAAAGATGTTTACAGTGAGGGTCGAACTTAAGAAAAACGAACTATAAAAGTAACCGACACCCAATGCTATGCCAATAATGGCACACTAAGTTTTAACTCAGTGCCGCACTTCCGTCGTGACTGAAACAAAACATAGGCCTCTTTGATGCAGCCATTGTGTGGTCACGATCCCTGACGTAAATCCTACCGTAATCCATCACTTAGTTGAACTCTGCCGTAGCAAAGCGCAGGCGATGGGCAACAATACACTCAGCATGGTTGAACATAGGGACATTCGCCCTGTGGCCTGTATTGTTGGTGTCAGTTAAGATGAGAGCACTTCTAGAGAAGAGCATTAACCCTGTATGCGACCACATACGGTGTCACATCTCTTCTGTTTCGATATTGGTTTCGTACTTACCACACAAATGGTGGATTGTAGAGCTGAAGAATAATTACGAAGCCAAGTGCAATCAGCAATATTGCCAGATTTAGTAGAAGCATCAGACAGCACACTCCTGCGAAAAGAAACGGATCACTGCGTTCAAAGATCAATGGTGAAGTAGGTATGTGGCAAATTGGATGCTCTTGTCGGTCAGCTTTCTGCAAGCACGATATCTATGCCGTTTCAGAAACATTGACAGTTAGGTACATGTCAGATGTCTGCAATATACCGACCTACCTTGCAAACAGACAGACGTTGCCTAAATATGCGGAGAATACAAAAATTAAGCTTGAAAAATTAAACCTTTAAGCGATAGCTAGAAATTGAAAAAAAAAATCGACAAAGAATCAACAATTGATAATTCTGTAGAAATCCTGTCCACGTTTAGTCCCGAAGAGCCTATCAATCCTCCTGGCCCGGCTCACCTTTGGTGTTTGGGCAGCACGGGTACTCGCTCACCTTTGGTGTTTGGGCAGCAGGGGTGTGGCGCCGCCATCGTCTCCATCATGAGGTTGCCGTGTCGGGACGTCTTGGTCTTGGTGGTGCCGGCCTCGGAGACACCGCTCCGGTGGGTGCGCTGGCTTGGCGCGTAGTGACTGCGACACACGAGTGGATTTTTATGTTGAACGTCTCGACTTACATATGTATATCCTAACATAACTGGCAGGAATGGCTCCTAATTCTGTAAGCCAACCGTGCAACCTTTGGTCGTAAGTTGCAACTAGCAAAACAATTATAACTATTTTGTGAACGTTTCTGGGCACACACCGCTAAATAACAATGGAAACTGGAGAGCTCAACAGTGACTCGAACGGAACTAGCATAAGCTGGCAATGCAATGATCATATTGAGAGCGAGCTTTGGTAAGCGACTTTGACGTCACGCGATAACATCATCCGTCATCTTGCTTTCATCTGGAAAAGTGAAGACCTCGCTCTGCGATGTAAAGCTCCTCGCATAAAAGACGGCGAATCCGGTATCAAAGATTGTTCGATTTTATTTTTATTGGTAAATACCTCCGGTCAATCACTCGTATAGCTTACCTCATGTCCGGCTGATGGGCCTCGGCGTATATTTCGCTGGCCTCCCGCTCCTCCGGGTCGTAGCGGTCGCGCTCGGTGTCGTACCGGTCGCGGTCGTAGCGGTCGCGGTCGCGGTCGTGCGGGTTGCGTTCGGAGTACCGCTGCCGCCGGTCGGTGTCGTAGCGCTCCTGTTCGTCCGGGTCGTACCGGGGAGTGTCGAGCACAAACTCACTGACGGCCCGGTCCGATGGTGCCCGCTCCACCTCACTCCGCTCCTGGAGATACACGACAGAAAATGATGAATCGTTGAGTTAAGATGTACGCTTGTCTGTGTTTTTCACATTCAAATACTTATTTAGTGGCTTTAAAATCACTAGGTACAACCGCAGCTCATTATGTAGGGGAACCATCACCCCTCAATAAATGACTCTGCACACCTGAGTGATCATAGGCGTGCTCAAATGAAACACAAACTTAAGAATAAACGTCTTTTGTTACCGCAATTAACTGGTGTCAAATCAAAACCGTAGTTCTCCTGAAAGCAAACTTTTGCACAAGTGATAAGTATAATGTATACCACAATTACAGAGAACACAAAACAGGCCTTTCTCGCTGCCTGTCGCTGACAGCTGAAATTCCATCACCGGCTCTTGTGTGAGGTTATCGACGAGATGCAGCTGTTTTCGTGGACTGAATCTCGTTAAGTCACGTTTCGCAGAGGTAAACAATTCGGTTCGAACCCGGAGCAGGCAGAATGCGGGCATTGAATAGCGGCAGATGCCGAGTGAAGCTGTGAATGGGGTGGTAACTGGTAGGCAAAGCCACACAAGAGGTGCTGGCTGCGTTCACGGCAGTCCGATGGTCACAGGAGGCTAAGAATTAGGACTTAAGGCAAAATGAAGAAACAATAACTGTCAGCCGCAGACCACAATTTCTTATTTCACTTCAATATTGAAGCAGATTAGCGCGCTTCAACGCTTTCGTTCAACGCACCAGCATGGGACGAGCTCTTGGCAACTTCATCTAGTGTCAGCGTCACAGCTCATCAATGACGTCACCTCATTGATGATGTCACCTTATACCGGCGCCGTACCTCGTCGTAGCCGTACTGGTAGCGGTAGTCGCGGTCGTCGTCCCGGCCGCGGTAGCGCCTGTCGTCCTCCCGCTCCTCCTGGTAGCGGTCCTCGATGTCGTCCCGGTGGTGACGCCGCTCGTGGCGGTGCTGACGAGACATGGTGGCCTGAGGGAGGGCCAGGGAGGGGTAAGGGTGACGAGACATGGTGGCCTGTGGGAGGGGCAGAGAATGGGGTGAGGGGAGGGAGATGTGGTGACTTGTGGCATCGAAGCGAAGGGATGATGTTGCGAGAAACATGCAGACGGGTAAGGGAGGGGGAGGGTAAGGGAAGACATGAGGGCCTATGCCCCTGTGGCAGGTGCAGGGAGGGGTGGATGAGGGCGGGGGAGACATGGCGGCCTGTGGCGGGTGCACGCAGGGAGTGTGATTGGAGACTGGTGGGATCGGTGGTGAACCACACGTATTCTGCTACACAAACCATAGAAATCAACGGGTGAAAAGGTGATGATCTACTCACTTGCTCAAAATATTTACAAAAAGCGGCAGTGTTTCTTAAAAATGAGAATCCCGTCCCCGCCCCTGACTTTTTCAGACTCTCAGCTTGCGTAAGAAGTCATCCTTTTTCTGATTAACTATGGCCAGATCGTCATATCTCTGCACTATTAAACCGTTCAAATCAGTTTCGGGTACATTTTGCTATATGTTTGGGTCTACATTGTGCAATCAAGATAACGGTTTGCTTTTATTATAATTTGAGAATACAAACTTGTTAAGTTGATTCAAGCAACACACCTTTCGCCTACGCATAAGTAGGCATTAAATTGCACGTTTCTTTGTTCTCTTTCCGTTGCAATCGGCCTACATTTTAGATTCCGGACTCGGTCGGCCCTGGGTAGGGTTTTACCGATATCTGTCAGATTGCCGCCGCCGTGCACATAATGAGGGAGTGTCTACCCGCCTACCTATGCCGTCATATCACAGCTCTATCAGCCTGTATACACCCAAACAAGTCAGCCGTCGGGGAGTGGCAAAGGAAGTTAATACAGGGCACAGGTGACGTAATGCAATCGGTTTTGGTCTCCATTAATATTGTTATTATTCGGTGTCGCTATACGACAAAATTAGGGATTAGGTAGAAGAGAGGATGCTGTCGGTAAGAACTGTCGGTAAAAACTGCTAGTTTACGGACCAAATCTTTCCTATCCGGTTCTTTATGACATGTCGGTAAGTCATCGAAGGTGGAAGCCTTCGAAGGTGATCAGCGCCTCAAACGAAAGCCGATTTGTACCTAACAATTTTCTGTCTTGCTACCCAAAAGCCAACAGGGCTCGTAGTGCTATAGAAGAGCTTTGTTTTGTACCGCACACTTCACTCGTGACAAGGTAATGCTGCATTTTGCGCATCATCAGGGGTAATTTTTAAATCGCATTACCCATGGAACAAACCAAAACGATGTGAAAATGTCTATGAGCTTTCACAACATTTGCCTACGGGCCAGGCATGATTTCTCACACTTCTTTTCCTCGAGGCAATTAGTCACATTAATATTCATATTTCTGTTTATTGCGAGACGAAATGAGCTTATCAAAACGAAATGACGGCTGACAAGTGGCAAAGCAATCGCCTGAACAAATTCAAGATATCTAATGCGACCTTTCCTTATTTAATCCAAAAGAAAGGATTCCTTTACGTTTTCATGCTTAATCAGCCATATTTTGCTTTCAGTGTTCACAAAGCAAGGCCAGTCGGAGGCGATATTCGCACAGCTGTCATCTATTCACCACTGCCCACTGCGCGCTGCCATTACCTTGACGGAGGCTGCAGCAGGCGATCAGCTGCTGCGACTCCTGGCGATAACCGCAGCTGTCCTGCTGTCAGTTGTTCCGATCAGGACCCTCCTCCGCCACCTGTCACCCCCAAACACCCCCACGCACCCCCGGGCACCCTTTTCACGTCACCAGCACCACTGAGACACTGCCCCACCGCTGCCACCGCCCAGGCGTCCCTGTCTAACAGGTGAGCCACCAGCAGCCCACACCGGCGACCGCCCTTGAAAGTGAAATGGCGGCGCCAGGCGGCAGGGGCCTGGACAGGTAACGCTGGAGACGGCCGGTGTGATCAGTGTGGGCAGGAGTCTGCACAGGAAGATGGCGGCCTGCATGCCGAGCTATCAGGGTAGGACTGGGATAGGGTTATGGGTGTGCCTATATACTGCACACTCGCATACCTTACCGGGAGGCAAACTGAGCAAGCGGGCCGAGTCTCGCGTCAGAATGCCGACTCCGGAAATAATATTCTTACCTATTTGGGACATTTTGGTGAGATGTTAAAAATATGCTAATGAATAAACAAAACTATAGCATAAAACATGGATATCAGTAGGCGGAACTATGGTCATGAGTACCCAAATATAGGAACGTTCCCATTTTTGGGAACGGAGTTCCCAAATATGGGAACGGGCGTTCCCATTTATGAGAACGGAAGGCAATTTTTCGGCCGTTCTCCCACTAAAACTCAAAAGTGCATCACGTCTCAAAAAAGTGCACGCTGATTTAAGTATCTACTAAATCTCCATAAAGTTATCTTTAATCTGACCGTGGAACAAGGAAATTGACCGTGGAATGATATTTTTAATGATTTTTTGAAAATGACAGAATGGTGGAAATATGGGTTATACGACATTTAGCATGCAATTTTAAGGAAAATGAAGCATTTTTTAGTTTGAGGTAAAGTATAATAATTTTCGCCTGGTTATGAACTTTCATACTATCGACACCAGATGCTGACAAATGCAAGCGAAGACGCGGACGGTCCCGAGGTAATATTGTTGACTTTTGTGTCGGGGCGGACGACCGCGTGGAACGTGAGTGAATTTACCGAGCTACTGTTGTAAACTCAGTTTAAGCGGTTGAAAATTATCCAGCTGTATTTTATCATCCCGGAAAGACATATTTTATTTGGATGCTAGCTGTTTAGAGTTGTTTTATAAGGAGCGTCATGAGCGTGGTTTTTGTCTTCCGTGTTTCTAAGCGTGATCGTTTTGGGGGAATTTCTCTTATATAGCTCGCTCTGTGTGGCTTATTTATAATTTTTATGCTGATTTCGATAATTCCTCGTGCCCATCCTACCAGGCCTTTTGCCACTTACACTCATCAAGAAAGGAAAAAACTAGATTTTCATTGGGACTAGGTGTTTTGAGGGTGTAACATATTCAGCGTTCCCATTTTTGGATACTTCCTTGTACTCGTCAACTATCGGTGATAAACAGACAGGTGCTTGACATGTCTCCACCCTCAGCGCGGACGGTGGATATAGGTATGGAAGACCTTGTTGTACATCGCTGAGCGTTGTGAATTACGTAATCCTGCAGAGGGGGGCGTGCCCGCTGCGAGATCGACGGGAATAAAAGCGCAGAAGACCGGGCGAAACATGCGACGGTCTTGCCGGAAAGGTCATCTGATGATTGTTGCGTTAACAATAATTTGCGGCGTTGGACGTGATGCTGAAATGAGCCCCTGAAAGGCGTCGCTGAAATCGTTCCCAATTTTGGGTACGCCGTTCCCATAATAAGGAACGCTTGCAGCGCCAGTGTACGAGAGCGTTCCCAAATTTGGGCTCGCGGCCCGGATGATGGACTGCTTTAGAAATAGGGGAACGATTTGAAACTACGATGGGCCTTACAATATCAAACTCTTTCCCAACAATATTGAGACAAATATCAGGCGGTTCACGATCGTTTTATATTTTTTGGACGTCATTTAACGGTTCTTTTTCTTGTTTTAAATAATGCCTACATGGCGTTCCCATATTTGGGTTTATCGTTCCCAAACATGGGAACGAAAATGCGTTCCCGAAAATGGGTACGCTTGACCATAGTTCCGCCTACTGATATGTATGTAATGTGTAGATCACTTATAACCGAGTGCATATAGAAGCGTCATTCGTGTATCATCCGTGTCCCTGTCATCTCGACCTCTCCCAGGAAGTGAGATGGCGTTATCTGGCCACCGGATGGTGAAAGTGAGAGTTCGTAGGTACGGGACAGCGCTCCGCCTCGCATCGCGGAGAGAAAAGGAATCTGGAGTTCGCAATGGGAATGTATTGATCAATGCTCAACCAAAAATAACCGCACTGTAAGTAGCAGGTTGAATATATTCCTGCCCGGGGCCGGGATGATTCAATAAATGTCACCGAGGTTTTTTTAGCGAAAACTCCGAGGGCCGTTATAGGCCCGAGGTGATTTTGCTAAAAAAAGCGAGGTGACATTTATTGAATTCCCGGCCTTAGGGCTGGAAGGTGTTTCCCATACCTGCCAAAAGCTCATAACTATATGATAGTGACGTCAGCAGCCGTGTGGTTCAACATGTTGAACCTCACCCCTTGAACCACACGGCTGGCTGGTAATCGAGCGAGCGAGCGCAGCGAGCGAAGTGAGTCTTTTCAATATAACGGAAAAATCTCAGTATGAGCGGCCCGGCCCGGCCCGTCCCGGCCCGGCCTGTAACGCTTTTGAGAGGCTTATATCTCAGCAACCGCTGGACCGATTGGCCTGCGGTCTTTTTTGTTGGGTAGCCCCATCCCTTCTACCCTGTAATTGACTACTTTTGATACATCTCAGTGACCGTCGTGGCACGTGCCACGTGAAAAGTCAAGGGTGTTCAAGCTGTTTTGCAAAAGTAGTGATTTTGAGAGGCTCATATCTCAGCAGCCGCTTGGGCGATTGGCTTGCGGTAATTTTTGTAGGGTAGCAGCATCCCTTCTACCAAAAATAGGATACTCTCGATGCATGTGGGTCACCCCCAGTGCACGTGCAAAATACAACAATAAGAGGTGTCAAATTTGTTCCCATTTTAATAACTCGGTAATTACTGGGGCGATTTTGCTGAAACTTGGCATACAGGTAGGCACCCACCCACCAGATAATGCATTCCCATGTGTTGCGGTTAAGGTGCAACTGCACGTGCGCACGTGCAGGGGGCGCTTCCAGATCTCGAGAACGGCTGGGCCGATTGCGCTCAAATTTGGTACACGGTTGGGGACCAGTTAGTAGGGTGCCGTGCAAAAGTCAGTTTGGGCCCCGTTTGCACGTGCGCACGTGCAGAATGCCGCTTCCAGATCTCAGGAACGGCTGGGCAGATGGCGTTCAAATTTGGTACACCGCTAGCGACCGGTTAGAAAGGTGCTTTGCGCAAGCCCGTTGGAAGTACCCTCTCGCCCTTCCGCACGTGCAGGGCTCACCATCTCGCTCGCTCGTTCTTCGCCCAAAAGGCGTTTTACTGGTATTAAAGCATTGCATTAAACTTTGAAAAGTGTGGTACAGTGCACGTGCCGTTTAAATGCCTGGATGTCTCGATTTAATCATACAATGTAGCAGGTATGGGAAAACGGGAATAAAACCGCTACATCTGCCATGCATGCAGTTTCGTGAGTACAACTTCATCACCAGCATGTAGGTAATATCATTTGCAAGCCCGTTGGATATCGATACCAAACAGCCCTCCAGTTTCTGGAGATGTAACGGACACACAATGTCACACCGCTCCCCGTATACGACCATACTCCCACTGCCCCGGTCTCATCCTCGTGGGACTGCCGACAGAGCGAGGTAACAGCTAGGAGTGACAAATAGCGGATCGACCGGCAAATGTCCGAAACGTGACATCGGCACCGGCGAATGACGTCTCTCCGCACGAATTCGGCTGTTTGCGATGCTCCAGCTCAGTGTTTTGGCAAACAACGAGCACGATCTGACGCAACATACTACACTACAGCAGGCACACGCCATGAAAATGATCCTATTCTTACGATGGCTTGCTCACCGTTAATTGGGGAACCCTTGGCCTTATTGCATTTCCCTCTATTTCCACGGTTCTGATCCGGTCTGATTCGGTCTGGTTGTGAAGCTTGTGCTCGTATAACACCGTAGAATTGCCGCATGTGTCGCGCAAGCCTGCCTCGGTTCGGACTGCGGCAGCGAGGCGCCCATTCTCCTGGTGGTATGCTCCGATCGGCCAGTGCAGTCTCCGGCCCTGGCGCGGGAGGGAAAATGGCGGATATCCATGGAGCGAAATGCGTTTGTCATGTTTTGTAACAAAGTGTTACTATTTGCTCATGGCGTTCATGTTTCCATATTTCTCATTCGCTTTCAGTTCAGCATGTTTCACGTGTGTCTCAAAGTTAGTACGTTTGGTGCGTTTTGGTTTTAAATTAGATAGACGGGCGGAAGAGTGTGGGTGTTTCGCTCTTTTACGAACTAAATAGGGCTACGCTTTTCTCTATAATAGCAAATTAAGCGACAAAATGGTAGATACAGATGTAGATACAAATGGTAGATACAAAATGTAGAAATAACAACCATTCAAATGTTTTGTTTTTCACATAGTTACATGGCCGAGCTATTTTGGACGCCCTTGTTTGAGGCTAGGAAAACAAGTGTCGTAGTTCGCTTCTTAAATTTTGGCTCATGAGCAGATCTACCTATTATGTATGTAATACATTATACAGCTATATGTAGAAGCGTTCGCCTTTGCGCAAGTAGGCGCTGCATTAGATCTAAAGGTATTTTTCAGTAGTTTGTTAAAGGAAATAGTTTACTTTTAACATGGGGTTTTGAACTGAAATAGCAGTCTTGTAGCTTGCACTTAGACTAGCACAAACCATAAGCTTTTACGGCCCAACGATCACCCTAAGCAAAAATATTCAATTTCCCGTTCCAAAAAGAGTGTCTTAGGCAGGAATGTGGTGTCTGGTGGTGTCTTAGAAAGGAATGCAGTCACGTCATCGTCAGCCAATCAGCATGCTGCTTACAGCCAATGCGGCATGCGTAGGTTTGAACTACGCAATGTGATTGGTCAACGCATAATAAGCTTCCGCGTGAAAACATCATGCTACATATAATATAGTTCTTCCTGTAATAAAATATAGAAAATAGCTGTTTTTACAGAAAGGTTTTATTTTATTTTCTGATCATTTTGAGCATAAAAAATCATAAATCCATAGCAAAATACTAACTTCAGGAAAATGAACTATTTCCTTGCTGAGCCCAGTTGCTGTGCTAAAAAAAAAAGTTTCATTCATTTCTGAGAAGCCACGTTGCTTTGAGCCACTATTTGCTATTGGTTTAATTTCATAAGAAAAAGTTTTGAGATATTTGCGCATATCTGGTAAGTTTGATGAATTTTCTATGTTTCTTTCAGCGGTTTAATTCCAGCAACGAAGCAATGACACTTAATTGGAGTCTCATATGTGCTGAAAGATTAGTTCTGGATAAGTTTTATCTTCATACAAGTTAACACATTTTAAGGTCTTAGCAAGAAATCGACATTGAATATTCCCTTTACATTCATCTTTTAGAGCATCCCTGCTTCAGTGCGAATTCGGTTACCGTTGAATCTCCTAGAAATTAGTGGCTGAGTTTAACCATCATTTACCTAAGTCTTGTCAATCAACTGAAAACATATGTAATATGCAATATGCATGCTCTTTAAACTTAGCTTGCCCGTTTCATCCTGAACCGTAGCGAACTCGATGGAACTTCGCTGAAACATGCCAATTAGTGATGTCAATTACAGAAAATCAAGATACCGATACCAAACCCACTACCAACCAAAACCATAGGAAAATACCGAAACCAAACCTACTTGGGAATGTCAGGAAAATGCCAACTTTTTACCAAATTCACAGCCTCTTATTACATTAGTGAGGATTCATAATACCAACAAAATACCAAAAACATAAGGGTTGAAATTCCAAATACCAAGTTGGTATCGGTTTGGTATCGGCATACCAAAAAAATCGGTATCCGATTGACACCTTTAATGCCAATTTCTTAATAGTCTAACAGTCAATTAACACAATATCCCAGATGTGTCACCGGTAAGCAATTGCCTTTGCCTGAGGCAGACCCACGTAAATCATAAGTTTACTTAAGGTAGGCTCTCTTTAGCTATTGACGCTTGTGGTGACTCATCAGCATTTGGGCTATGCCTTGTAAGTACATTCGTATGATTGACTGAATGCATAAACCTGCAAATAGACATTCATGCATGCACGAAGAAGCTGTCCGGACTGTGCAGTCGGCATCCCTCGCTGAAGCACTCCTTTCTCAAGAACTCCCCGTTCCCCGTATCTATATCCCCCCCCCCCCGTCGCCGCCGGCGTCTCCGCCGACGCAGGCGCCCCAGGTGGTCGGTCGGGGGCACTAGGTGGCCCGTCGGCGCCGGCGACCCACACAGTGTGTCCGGAGCGCTGGCGACGGGCGCGTGCGATCCGACGGTACTGGCGGACGGCGGGCTTCGACGGAGAGGGACCCGAGCCGAAGGAGCGGACTCCAGCCCCTCAGAGGCGCGGACAAGGTGCGTCACTGCAAGTGCACACATCTCGGGGGTCGGTGTCGAGTCAATCGTTGGTGTCCGGACATATGATACGGATGTTTTGTTATCTGCCGATTGTTAAAAGATTAAAGATATTTGCAGTTGGCCTGTTGTTAAAAGATCGACGGATCTTTAGTAGTTATTACAAAGTCAAATAGTTTGAGCCATTTTAAAGAACAAATCGAATGCTCTTTTAGAAGCCCGGCTCTTGCTCGCTTATTCTGCTGTAATATGCCCTCGCCTCTTTCAGCCCGTCCCAAAAGAATTTAACTGCGGGTAGTGTACAAGCACAAGAGCCCTCATGTCTGGACATATTCCTTTCTGAAAAAACAATAAACAATTTAATCGAAAAAGTATTGTTCTCCATGGTAACTTCGACAGGCCATTTACCCGCACAGTCACAGATGCGTGAGAGAAATTCTTAATTTGCGCATTTTATACATATCGCCCATATGCTCGATCCAAACAGCTTCAGTCATACGATTAAAAACTTTTTGACCTGAAACACACATGAAAATGAAGTGTCTCTCTGTAACCATTATAAGACATATTTATGTTTTATTCGAACCATCCTGTATTCTAATAAATTGCATATTATAAAGGAAAGCATAGCACTTAGTTTTGATTCCCTAAGTACCTATGTCAGCAGTTGATAATATTTACGCGTTTCACGAGAACCTGAAGTATCACCTAAAGTTCTAAGAAATACACTTCAGAAATGTGTTCCGCCATTTTATTTACCTTTAATTTGTACTACACTATACTTCTCGTACGATACATCCGGTCTCACAGATGGTAGTTTTCCGTAAAATTGGAACACGGAACGAGAAGTGAGGGATAACAAAATGCAGACGATCCGATTCCAGACAGGGCAATCCAATGTACGATCCATATTGAATCATTTCCCGTGTTCGGCCCTGTTCCGGCCTCCGGCGGCGGTTCTATTGGCTAGTGGCGGCAGTGTTACCAGGGGATATGTACTGCAGAGCCACTGAGACCCGTGAGATGATTGCATTACGACGAATACGTTAGGTGTAATCGTGTCAGGTTTCTACTCATGCATACACATCGTGGCAGGTAATCTAATCATACGCCTTGGCTATGATTTATTCAAAGTATAACTGCTTATTTCGCACATCTATTCAACGAATCAGGCTTTATCTGTAAATATAGAAATTAATGATAAAAATCAACATTTGAGTGACAAATTCAGGAGTCGAACATGGATTAGATTACTTATTATCTCGTCTGGTGTAATGTATAGCGCGAATAACTATGTGCATTGCGCCCAGTGCATTATTCTGAAAAACAGATATGAGATGATCCCACAGACCAGGCTTTGGGATCATGCGGGATCGTATATTAATCACTAATTTCACCGAGAGATTAAATAGGATCACGTATCCGAAAACAAGTTCTGTCAAAAGATCCAGTGATATCATGGACCCTCACTCGATTTCCTCGAGACAGGAATGCGAAATTTGTACTCAGATATGCATGCGCTGTTATTTGCATTAGTTCGCATTATTGCATTGCATTGCATTATTTGCATTAACACATCACATTAGATGTGATGTGTTCGTAATTCACACCGCAGCTTTGTGTCTCAATTATGAAATCCATTGGATCACATAGGTATGTATTCAATGCTCAGGCCTATGTTACACGCAAGTTGTGCACATTGCACATTTGCATATCCACCTCACTCCTTTTAATTACTGACGTCCTGACCTGCACATCAAGGAAAGGAGCGGCGCTTCATTCAGTGGTTTGAATAATCGTGCATAGAAACCATATGTCATTCCAAAGATACCACAGCTATATGCTACTGAAATTAATACAGCACTTTTATATTACATTGCAATATAACGTCGCATACACACTGCAAAACTATACAAAAATATGTGTACGGCAACCAGATTTCTATTGGCTCTGCTCATGTTCCGTATTAGTGATGAGGAAGCCAGACTATATGTAGGTCTGGTTCGCTCGCGTGTGACGTTTAATACCATAATCGTCAATTGGCGTGAGGGATTGTCCTCTCGCTGATAGCTGGGCAATGATTGGCTCGGCTGTCCGAGTATGAGGTGGCATGTGTCGATTGCAGGGCCAGCTGACGGGCAGGCAGACAGACGGAGACAGACAGACAGACAGACAGACAGACAGACAGACAGACAGGCAGACAGGCAGACAGGCAGACAGGCAGACAGGCAGACAGACAGACGGACAGACAGACAGACGGACAGACAGACGGACAGACAGACGGACAGACGGAGAGACAGACGGAGAGACAGACAGACAGACAGACAGACAGACAGACAGACAGACAGACAGACAGACAGACAGAAATAGATTATCTGAAGAATTTCAGTTAACGTTGAGTACCAATTGAATGATGGAAGATTCGGGGCGATAACCCATTAAAAACATCGAGAAAGGCATTAGGCATAGGCATAGGCAAGTAAATCATATTTTCCAATGAAATCCAGTCAATAGAAACAGGAATATTAATTTAAAGGCAGATAGATGTATTGTTGTGTCAGAAGAGTAAGTAGGCAGGCTGAATTGATATTTAATATTTATACGTCATAGGATACGACGGATGGCTGGTAATTCGTTTTGCATGTTCCACTTGTTGCAGAAGCAATGAGCCACCACTATATGGAGCCGCCGGAATTATGAATAATGCATCGGCTGGTGTTAGTTTTCATAACACATGCGGGTCTCTTGCACTCCGTTTGAGGTCATGCGATGCAGAATAGAAGACAGATCCGGTTCTCATATAACTCGATATTACCCCAAAACAGAGCAGCGACTAGTTCATGCAGCAGCTAGAAACGGTGGACAATATAACATATGGGATGGTATAACCAACATGGTTGACTAAACTGAAGCCCGCCAGCTTACACATAAAGTGTCGTTACATTGGTGGAGCCAAGCGATAATCTTCAACATTCGGAGGCCGAGGGTTTAGGTGCAAACACATTGGCTAAGGACAACGAACACCACGCGTTCAAATTCCGTCCATCGCTGTTCTCTTTTTTTGTGACCACATCTTACTAAGAAGGTTTAGCTATTTTGTTTGTCGTTTTACTGCGCGATGTGAAAATCGGCGCTCTGACAAATCTATTAGAACTGAACAGGTGCAAATCATAGCGTGGGAGCTGCTTGCAGGTCCATTTAGATGGATGAGCGAGTACCTATGCTGTTAATCTAGCAGCTTCTCAGCAGGTTATCAGGAATTAATTTCTTTGTTACGTTCTATGTAATCACATTATCACGCATTGTACTCCTATACGCACCTGTACAGTGAATAGTGTACACTGTACAATGATATAGAGTCTTCTTTCATCAACAAGGTAATAATCCATATTGTACTCGTCTTATGCAATTATAATGCTCATGCTATTATGACTTCACGCTTATATCAGTCATCTGCTCTGTGATAAATAAGCTAACAAAGTGCCTAGATAAGTAAAAAAGACTGTATATAAGGGAATTCTTATCTCCAGATGTCATCGGCTACCGCTCTAGAGAAGCAATCTGACGGCAGCAACACGACTGTTATGCCCTTGATTTCCTTTGGCCAAAGGATCAGTTATCCAGACTGACGAACAGTAATGGACGATATGAGCTATATAAGTCACAGACCACTGGTTTTCTTGTTCTCTTAAGAAACTATTTTAACCATACAATTGCTGATCATTGCTCCATCATGTGAACCGATTGCGTCACAGCTAGGTGTCTATTATGTCACATACAATACATGGCTGTAGGGTGTACCTAGATGTACCGAGGCGTTTCAGTTATTTCCGCAAATCATAAGACCGCCAGGCTTACCTATAAGTGAGTCAATGCTTGAGATATGATTTGTAATAATTACGTTAATATAATGCAAGAAACACGAAAAATATGAGAGACAAAATCGCGAGTCCATATTAAATCTATTTGAGAATATTTTTCAAAATCAACCATTTGTGTCAACATGGATATCGCTAGTTTCTAAAACATATGTAAGCCAACAAGCAGGGACTCCACCACTACGGGAGGCCCTGGGATCCGTACCCTCCCCCCCCCCCCCAATAACTTCACCTCCGATATAAAGCCTTATGTAATGGGTGTACATTTTTGGGTTGGATCACCGAATTCTGAGAGCGCGGAGAAAGGAGAAATGGAAAACAAAAGAGGAGTGTGCCGTATTTGGGCGTACCTCTCAGCCCTTTACCAGCCCAGAGAGGCCAGCTGACGTTTGGCAGTGGCATGCCGCCCTGAGATGCGATACAGCGCGTGCTAGATCGTCATCACTACCCGCGCGCGCTAGGTAGCGGTCTACCACGCACGCCGCTGCCGCAATGGTCGAATGGCACGACATCGAAAGGCCGCACTCCCGTCATCACGCATTTACGGGGCCAGCACGGAGAGAACGAGGGTGGCACGGGCTGGGACCAGCGTCTGGTCGCATGTGGAGTTACGGTGTATGTAACTACATAGACTGAGGTCTGCGGCAGGGGGGGGGTCTTTGCCTTTATACATTTGGTTAGTGCTCGAAGACCCAGTCCTTGGGTATTGGGGGCGGGCAGACAGGTACGAACTTCGGCACATATGGAGTATGTAAGTGTGGTACTGTGAGCCCCGAGACGATTCACAAGCCATGCCGGCGGATTGATGGCTCGACTCTCGACGTCTATGTGTGGGCTGTAACTTTCGACAACGTCCAGCTTACCATCTAACTTTTCCTCCCAGCGGGTCGTGATTTATCCCTAAACCAAAAACAAATCACACGACAGAACAAACAAATGCTGGACGATTTCCTTCACGAGTGTTTTCCCGTAATCTGTCGAAGATTGTGTGCCATTGGTGGCTATCTGTCGGAGACGAGCAAATTGCGGCTGTTAGGAGGTTTTTGGCGATATTGGGACGGTCATCAGTGGCGGTGGTTTGTCTCCGTCTGCGGTCGGCGGCCGTCCCCACCCCTGTGGTGTACGGTCCGTCCTCGGCCGTCGGGGTCGGCTAATTGCCGACTCATCCTGTCCATCGTCCACTCATTCCCTGCTCTGCCACCTCCAGTACTCTCTCTCTCTGTCTCTCTGACTCACTCTCTCTCCTCTCTATCCCTACCTGCCTCTCCATCCTTGCTCATCGTTTTCCTTAACTTCCGCTACATTTTCCTCTGCCCCTGCCTCTCCTCCTCCTCTCCCTCTTTCTCTCTCTCTCTCTCTCTCTCTCTCTCTCTCTCTCTCTCTCTCTCTCTCTCTCTCTCTCCCTCCCCTCTCTCCATTTCCCCCCGCTACGTCTCTCGTCATCTCCCGCTGTCGCCTCCTCCGCACCTGCCTCTCCTCCTCCTCTCTCCTCTCTCTCTCTCTCTCTCTCTCTCTCTCTCTCTCTCTCTCTCTCTCTCTCTCTCTCTCTCCCTCTCTTACTCTCCCGCTGTGTCTCTCCTCATCTCCCGCCGTCCCTCCCCTCCCCACCTCTCTGTCAGTGCTCGCCCTGATGAGACAGCTCGTTGCGTGACACGTCTCCCGTCATTACGGCGACCTCTGCCTACTTACGGCGGTGCCGCGCAGTTTAATGAGACGCGCGAAAGGTGCCGACGCGTGAGCGATCGATGTAGACACAATAGCAGGAGCTGAAGCACATCCTAATTGATGTTGATGGATTTTAGTAGACTTTTTGCGGTCTTCGGTGAAGTTGCAGTCTGATGCGACTCTGCAGTACGGCAGCATGCAGAATTTAGATTATATAGCAGACCTCTAGCCAGCTCGAATGTAGCTGTTTACCTCGATCTGCGTTACCTTCGTCACGCACCAGAGTAATTTTCCTTCATATACTTCATTGTAAATACGACCAAAAGTTACTCGCTAACGTGCGTTATGCGATTCCAGTTTAAATACTGATCCGATCGCAAAACAATAGCACTCTACTCTCTCGCCTGGTTTTTGCCCGTCCAGGTAACATTCTTTACGCCTCTCCCTATCTCATCCCGTTTAGACTCGGTACGCAGACCTCTCCGGCAGCTGTTTGACCCACGCTGTGCCCCCGGCCCCGCCCAGGCCCCAGGGACCCCTGCACTAGCCAAATTGGCTCAATCGGGGAGCGCCGCAGCGGCTGTCGAGTCGTGTTTGGCGGCCTCTGTGCGCCACGGGGATGGCCCGCCAGGCCGGGTTTTCTCGCTACCCGCCCGCATGCAGAATACCTCAGATGTCAGAAGTAGGTGTTACGGGACACGGGTCACGGTACATAGGTCACGACACATAGGTCACGGGGCGTAACACCCTCACCACTCGGCCTGTGTGGGTGACGCGTCACTGCCCCTCTCCTTCTCCCCCGATCGATGTGGGCCGATACTATATTTAGAGACGCACAGAGGGAGCGGGCCGCGCCGGAAGCTATTCCCGTCTGTACCGGATTAGAGACGATCAATGACGAATGGGTGTATGGTGCGCGGGGTGGAGCCCGCAACAGGGAAACCGACTCAATGACGCTTAAAAGTACCGTGCCAGTGGTAATATGGTCATTATAGTCCGTTACGGTGGTTCGATGTTATGTGAGACCGATAGGTAGTTAATTATTCAAGTACGATTTCCGTTGCGTCGTCAGCAATTGGGCAGTTGCTTATAAATAAATGATGCATCCTTATTGCTACTGTGCTCATCAGCCTTTTTTTGCATGTGAATATAACATGCTGGTTTCAGGTATAGGGGTACCCAAGGTAAACAAAATACGAGCCTGCTCGGGCAGCCGTCGAGCGAGTGTCGGAGCCATCGGACCGTCAGCGGCTCTCCGATGACATCAAACCTAAACAAAGTGACGGATTGTTTGAGCTGCGACCACGGCAGTGCCAGATTTCGTCAAACAGTGGCGCTGGTGAGAATAAACAGACAATCACCCAGTGGTCATCACGACATTTGGCGAGCGACCTCCGTCGCTCGCGGGTCCTAGCCCGTCGGCCGCTGGGCCTCCGCGCCACCCGCCGGCCGCTGGGGGGGGGGGGCATATAGTTGCCCCCCCCCCTTTACTTCTGCTACGATATCGTCGCAACGCGACGAGATAGAGAAGCGAAACTATGCACACATCTTCCTGAATACCTAGCCGAGGTTGTGTCCAAATTTGGTGTCGATCTCATTTGAAATGACGTCACAGTGACGTCATAAGTCAAATTATAGATTTGCGACTCTCAGTTTCCTCACGATATATCGGATATATAGGACCGAATATAAAGGGCCGATTATTGGTCAGGAACTAGATGGAAGTGCACTTAGATGTTTTAGGATGACAGCAGGTGCTGTCTAGTTCATTTACAGTTGAGTTTCATGCTCAGCGACATCAGAAACGGTCCGTATCGGAAAACGACAATATTTTATGACGTCACTGTGACGTCATCTTAAGTGCTACGACCACCAAATTTTGCTCAAGCATTGCCTAGGTATTCATTTGAAGCTATGCCAAGTTTCACGTTCATAGCTCATCAGGTTTTGGAGATATTCCGCAAAACGTAAAGGGGGGCAACTTTATGCCCCCCCCCCCCCCAGCGGCCCGTGGGCTAGAAAAACAGCCTCCGCGTTGGCGACAGGTTGTCCTGTGTTGTGGGTAGACTGCGCCGCAGAGCATCCATGTTTTGCGGCACAGTCTACCTACGTGTGGCGCCGACTGGCAGTCGCGCTATAGAAGCTATCAGATAAACCCGGGATAAAATAAACCAAGAAAGGTTGGGGGAAATGGAATGAAACCAAAACAAATGTCTCACTTATACACGGTATTGCCTCCTTGCACTGGCGTCGAGAGCACAGAGCCCATCCCGGCCTGTTTTGCCGTGTATTCAATAAATACTGCGAACAGCTAAGTGTCCTACTGACGTTGCCGACATGTGTGCGTTAGGATTTCTCTGTTGGCTCTGCAGAGGAAGTGTACCCTTTTTTTAATTCTGTCGGTGTTGAATTAAGAGCATCAAGCCATCTTTTGGAAGCCAGCTTGTGTTGGTAAAAGTAAATAAATAGAAACACGAACGTCGATCAAGAAACACATCACATAATGATTGTGTATTATGAACAAAATAACAATATTCTAAATATGTAGGACAATGAGAACACTGCACCTACAAAAACCAATACACTTTCGTAGGGCCTATTATTAAATAAAATATTCCTTGACGCTCGGCAGCCATATACAAAAACGTTTGTCAAATACGTTCCATGCATAGCCAAGAAAATCTAGTCAAAGATTTCGTTTTTACTTATCTGTTTCCACCAAGCAGACTTCTGAGTTTATAAGCAGTCAGAAGTTGGCTTCGTTGCGCTGCGAGATTTCGCCCATAAAGCCTTGAACGACTGAAGCTCTCCGGCCGCGCCGAGTAGCGCCGGCCTACCTTGGATGGCTCCTCATAAGCCCTCCAATATAGACGGGCGTCGCTGACGGCCCAGCTCGGCACAGCGGGCGGCTGCGACGGCCCCAATGCAGCTTCATGCCAACGGGCGCCGTATTTCTGAGAAATTGCTGGCTCAGCACAAGTGCATCTAATATTCAACATGACTGGAGAAGGCGCGGAATGCTTTTGAGTGACGCTGCCTATGCCTGGATGCATTTTGTCTCGCAAACAGAAATTGCAGAAACTGTGATGAGGCTCTGTGATTTGGCGACAGGCCTATTGCTCGACTTCAATATTATGTCGGTATATGAAGCATGTTCCAAACGAAAGATGCCCAATGGCATAATTGGTAGGCTTCGGAAGCATAAACAAACTGTGCGTTTACTAAGCATTAAAAAATGTTATGCTGACGTTTTATCTGAAGTCATATTGCTGTAATCTCTCAAAAAAGCCCAATGCAAGAGTGTCAATAGCCCCTCCAAACTAGCAAGCTATCAAGTAATCTAACTTAATCAGGGTCTTGGCGTTTCACGGTTGCGTCGTTCATTAAGCGCATTATGAAGGTTCCCCGCGAGCGAGCTAATCGAACGAAATTACTTCCCCCGTACAATGTTCCGTGATCTGGTTCCAGCTGGAAATGAGCCATGGTCAGGTATCGTTGTTTACTTCCCCGATTAATTGAATTGATTGACGTGAATCACCTCATCAGCGGCTGCCTTGCTCGGTCAATTGGCTACATTGACCGTGGAGTGTGGACAGCTGGTAGCCCTGTCTGCCGGCAGGGGCACACGATGTCACCGCTTCTCGGTCTCGCCACTCACTCTTCCTTTCCTCGCTCGGCAGATGGCGACTGAGGCCCTGGAGCAGAACCTGACGGACAGTCTGGTGGAGAACATGACGACCCTGTCTCCCGAGTACTGTGGCGCCGGCCTGAACGCCTTCTACCTCGGCTACCGCAAGGTGCACGGCTACCTGGCGCTGGCCGTCTGCATCTTCGGCCTCACCACCAACATCCTCAGCATCGTTGTGCTGACGCGCAAGACGATGGTGTCTCCGACGAACGCCATCCTGGCCGGCCTGGCCATCGCCGACATCATGGTCATGGTCATGTACGTCCCGTTCACGCTCAACTACTACCTGCAGGCGTTCGGCAGGACCAGCTTCAGCTACGGCTGGGCCGTCTTCATGCTGACGTACGTGCACGTCACGCAGGTGTTCCACACGGTCTCCATCTGGCTGACAGTGGTGCTGGCGGTGTGGCGGTACCTGGCCATCGGACACCCGTCGCTGAACCGCGAGTGGTGCTCCATGAAGAATACCTCTGTGGCCATCGTGTCCGCCTACATCGTCTGCCCGATCCTCTGCATCCCCAGCTACCTGACCTTCGCCATCTCGCCCCAGGGCAACTCCACGGACAGATTCGTGGTCGGCTTCAGCGACCTGAGCACCTACAATGACAAGTTCCTCGAGAAGTTCAACTTCTGGATGTACAGCGTGCACGTCAAGCTGCTGCCGTGCGTCATCCTTACCATCTTCAGCTGCTGCCTCATCCACGAGCTCATGAAGGCGCGCAAGCGGAAGGCAGCTCTGCTGCGCAAGATGAGCTCCGGTCAGAGCAAGCAGTCATGCGCTGAGAAGCAGGCAGTGCGGACCACCCGCATGCTGCTCGCCATCCTGCTGCTCTTTCTGCTCACGGAGTTCCCCCAGGGCATTCTGTCGCTCATGTCCGGAATTCTCGGCAAGAAGTTCCTCGACCAGTGCTACAACCGGCTCGGGGACTTGATGGACATTCTGGCGCTCATCAACTCTTCGATGAACTTCATCTTCTACTGCTCGATGTCGTCGCAGTTCCGGTCGACGTTCCAGCAGCTCTTCATGGCCAGCCGGTGGGTACCGGTGCCGCTGAAGCCACCATCGACCACGGAGCAGACCGAGTGTACCCGACTGTAAATGCGCCGGCTTGGACCAGTCCTGGACTTGACCGGCCGATGGACCGGAGGGGAGGGAACAGAAAACCACACTGGTATTGTGTGGTCGTTGATTAAAACTAACAGCGCGCCCAAAGACGCTAGTAATGATGTAAGGATTGTGATTGAATGAACAAGCAAGCTGAAGTGTTGGAAATGTGATGAGAACAATGGCGTCCTCCGATGGTACTACTGTTACGAGTGTTAACTGCTATTGTTCTGTGAACTCTGGAGTTATGTGAACTGCCTGTGGTAGTGCTATGGCAATGGTGATGCAGCGAACCTGACTAACCAAAGGTCACAATGCTTGTGTACATTGTTACAGGACATTGAAGGCACACGCTACCATCTGTGAACTTTTGGGCACTGATCTGGGGAATGCCACGTCTCGTGTGCTCAGTAACGCTGAGACTGTTCAGTGTTCAAACCTTAGCGCCGCACCTAGAAACTAATTAGTCACTTGAGCTTCTGGTGCAAATCTGCTTCCGTGTCGTGTCTCTGTCGACGCGGGCTGATTTCTCTGTGACAGAGTTGTCTCCGAGCCGGCTCGCCCATTGACGAGCGTGACCGCCTCCCATCCCCTCCCGGCCCGTGGACGAATGTAATGGAGCCTCTCCGATGATGAGCCCAAGCGAGGATCGATTGCACCCGCCCACAGCCAGCCCCCGTCCGCTGCCGCGCCGCGCCGTGTCACACTGCTATTGTTGACCAGGTGGCGGGTCAGAGCTCCGTACTCGGGTGTTGTCCTGTATCAGGTCACTGTGTGAGTGCTCTGGAGTGCCGCCTTCGGAGACAGGCGTCTGTGACCCCTGCGCTCACTGATGACGTCATAGTGACGTCACTGGCTGACTAAGGGACTCGGCGGGAACACCCACAGTGTTATCGATATCATTCCTTTGCGTTTGGCGGTGCCCGACACTAGATAAGGCGGCAAAATGCAGAGCGCGGTCTATAGCTTTACACACCATACCGTGACAGCTAGTGATGTTTACCTAACAGTGGTTATAGTAGTTATTAGTAGCATATTTCTTGCTTAAAGTAAATAATTCGAAGTTGTTAAGCATTTTTCTAAATAGATGGACATTAACCACCGTTTATCAAGCAGCAAAATCAACTATGTAACTTTATTGGTAAGGTTATTTTTTGATAAGATGATTTTACGATTGCCTTTCATTGTAACCTTCTTAACGCTTATATCATTCTTAATTCGTAATAAAAGGGACGCATCACCGTTCAACTCCTAAACACACAACCAACAGCCGCCACGGAAAGTCGCACAGTAGGTATTTGCTTTTTTAGGCTTATTCAAAAAACACCCGTCGGCAGCCTTTGTTATCCATGTCTTCATTATTAGGCGAACTTTTGATGCACATTCAGTTCACGATCGATAAAGTGTACGCTGGATGATGTAATGTGAATGTGATAAGATCTGTGTGTTGTTGGTACGAGGGTGAGCATGATAATGAGTGAGAGGCAGCGCCATGTTTTTACATTATTGAAAAGTACAGCAACCGTTATATGAAGATTGTATGGTTGTTCAAATAAAATTTCATTTTACGTCTAATGTTATGGAAGTGCCGCACTTACCATTTATGGACACAAAACATGATAATTCTATCGTTAAGACACTTATAAGGGAATTTGTTGCAGAAATATAACGACGCGTCGCATCTCCAGCCAATGTTTGTGATTGAACGAATGTGCTAGATTCAAATGTCCATATTCATATTGTTCTGATGTGGGGGTACGTGCTACTAATCAAACATGCTTGTGCGCTAATGGGCTCAGCTCTATAACTGTGAGCTGCGCTTACCAAGATGTGGCAGCGCAGCTCTTGCTGAGCTGGGGAAGCCCGGTCCCTGTGAGCTGCGCAGTCGGGCTGTGGCCGCGCGGGCTTCGCTTCAAGCCCGCCACATACGTGCAGCCCGCGTGTCCCGCGCCACCAGTACTGATGTGTGTTTACGTTTGTCTAGATGCTATATATGTCCAATAAATCTCCTGAATTATTACACCTATTTCGGTTTTAATTCTGATTTGAATATGCAAGGACCATGAAGTGAAACTCGTGTATCAGGAAACATCGTCGGCCATCGCTATAATTGGTGAACCTAAATACACTTGAGTAAATGAGAAATCTTATAGAATAGGTCCATTTTGTAACGACAATATTTGTTCAATTATGCAATGGTTCAAGCAGACAGGACCTGCAAAATTTGAATCAAACAGCTCCACGGAAAGGTATTTTAGGATTAAGAAGTTATGAAACGGAATGTTAACTGGCAATTTCATCAGTACTGCAATGTTTTCTGTTATAATCTATCAGCCTGGTTCGGTGTCTTCTCATTCAATCACCGTGCTCACTCAGTGCTGCTGATATCGAAACGACCTGCTAACATCACTTGCTTGTGTCATGGACTGGGAGGCGGGCACTGACAGCTAACCAACCTGTAACTATGGCACGAACTGACGTAAAAATCGGCCCCTAATTGCTGCTGGCACTGTAATCAGTCTGATCAATGCTGCGCGCCCACATAAATACCTCGCGTGATGGTCGCGTGCGATTGTGGTCTCATTACTGTAGGCGATTGTTAGCTTACCGAAAAGCACCAAATGGTGTGCCGACAATCGACATCATGATATATTTGTTCCAGAAGGTTGCAATAGTCAGACGCAAGTGGCTGCCCGGCCCAGGCATCTTACATCGTAATATCTAATGCAGTTATTGTTGGTTTCCTTAGCGTGTACGATGAGCATAACGTCATATCTATCTATGTTTATTAGCCATTTTATATGACGAACGGGCCATGTGTACTGTGTAGTATTCTAAAGACTATGTACTTACGAAGGCATGCTTAACCGTTTGATGCCTGTCGATTACGGGGTGACCGTGCGTGCCACTACAGGCGTGCGTAGAAATTATCATTTTTATACGGCGGCTAGCCGTTTATTCAATCCGTACCACTATCACTACATACATATTTCATTGTACAACTAAACACATTGCACACTATCACATACACTTTCTAAGCTAACCCAACTCGACCCAACCTAACCTTACCTAAACGTCAAGCATAAGCCAGCAATTCCGTTCGATTTCGACGCGGGGGCGCCCGGTTCGGTCGTGGAGGACGGCTAATTCTGAGCAGGCCGCTGGCCGTGTCCGCAGGACCTACCGACGCTTACCGACAGCTGTCGAACTCGGTCCAACTTTGATGAAATCGCCAGCCGAGCGAGAGCTGATGGCGCTTGCCATGTAGGTGCTGAAGTTTTGCATCTAGCTCTAACCGTGGCTATACCTATCTGTGCCATCGACAAGGCTGATGAGATAAGATATTTCTAAGGTCAGGGTTTTGAGTAGCAGTTTTCATCAGCTTTATATAAGTTGTCATGTTTCCTGGTATACTTTCATGGACTGATAGAAGCATCTTTTTGTTTTCATTTCACACTTCACGGTAAGGCACTGACACTCACTTTTTTAAGGTGACATGATCATTCAATATTTATATATCGGGGAAGGTTTGCTATTTCAAAAATGGTACTGCAAAAACAGATAGAACCTCAAAACTACACCATTTTAAGCTGCAGAGCTGCCAGAGCTGCCCTTAGCCAGGAGTTGGGGTGTCGGGTAGTCGGTCAGCTCACTGACCCACGTCCCACCGCGCTGCCGGCGGCAATCAGTCGTCCACGCCAGGTCTTCTCCGAACGCCAAGCTCGCCGGTCGGGCGGGCAGCGTCCGGACTGCCGCAAGGCAGCGCACTGGGACCATTAGTGAACGACTATACCGCCGCCGCAGCATCCCGTTCCAAGGACCGGGCAGTGGCCGGTCACCCATTACGAGAACCAGACAGCACGAAAAAACGACGCACTTTTTCATGGTGGGGCGTTCATCTGCAGCGAAATTACCAAAATATATTATAGGCGGTTCCGGCCAGATTAAATGCACAAGCAAGTAGTTCGATGAATAGTGGTTTCATACCAATCCTTTACATTGCCTGCATTAACTAAATTCCCCCCATTATGCGCGACAATTACCTCATACCTATCTATCCCATGGCTGATCACTATTAGCGGCTATCGTTTGGTCAGAAATCCCAGACATGGCATGAAAGAAGCTATTATTACCGTCGATGGTGTAAATAGTTTCGACTGCAACATCGAAATATACTTACAATGCCTTCAAAACACAACCGTAGTCCTACGCAGCATAGTAGATTTGTTTGCCCACACCATTTACCATGATATTTCCACCTGGGCCGTAGTTGCAGATGTAGGTTCTCTTCACGAGCGTATACCCTGGGACAATCTGAGTGTCTTCCACGGCAATAAAGCCACAGCCGACCCTGGTGGTTTCAGCCCATATCACCTGCGTCAGGTGTCCAGTGCCCGTTCCGAAGGTAAACGTCAAATCCTGCTGCTGGAACAGAGGAAGCTCCTTGAAGAACCACTGGCCAACAGCGTTGGAGGCCCAGTTCTTCGGATATCCCCAGGATGCAGCGTAGTTTTGTCCGACGTAGAAGCGTGGGACATTCCGACACTTGTCGTGGCCGCCCTGGCACTGATCCACCCAGCGCTGGGCCACAGTGGCCAGCTCCTCATCCCACTTCAGCTCCGGCATCTCCCGGGCCGCCGGCAGGTTTTTGTCGGCGTACACTCCGTTCTTGACGTCCCTCCGGATGGCGTTGTGGGCCTCGAGGATCTCATCTTGATCTTCAGACGACACACCTCTCTCCACGACAGTTCCACACCGAGAAGCGGTCTGATTGGCAGGAAACTTACACAGGGTATGGTCCTCCGAGGTGACGAACGCGCTGACGCAGCTGGCGATGTTGCAGTAGTCGGTGTCGGCAGCTCCGCCGGCCACCAGCAGGGGCAGCAGCACCAGGGACAGCATCGTCAGCTGCTGGGGCAGCGACCGTCCAGAGACAGCGCAGCTCAATACGGCAGGGCCCACAGGGAGCGCTTATATCGTTCACGGTAAACACATGCACCGGCACAAGTGGTGAGCCGGGCGAGACCATGCGGCGCAGAAATAACACTTGGTGGTCGGTGTAATTAATTCGACAGGTGCTCAAAGCAATTAATGCCTAGCCGTGGTGATGTTTTAGCATATCCCTTGTCCGCTTCCAAGCCTGAGAGGCCTTTCGTAGGAGGATAATAACATTGACTTTGTGTGCTGTTTGTATGTGAAGTTTGCTTTATAATGTTACATCAGTGACAACTAAAACAGTCCTCGAGAGCCAGTAATTTTGTAAGGGTAAAGAGCTCTGTAAAAAATTGGCCGCAGTGAAATAAGGGCTGAGAGTCACTATACCATCCTGATGTTGCCAAATGCCAAGGCTTATCGTTTAATTCGACACACGCGTTTTTAGCAGGTTAACGTGATCTCAGGATTAATGTGGGCAGTCAGTGGTAATTTACTTAATTTCAGATTATGCCTACTGACATAAGGCATAACAAATCATCAAGACATTGATATTTCGCCACTTACTTAGCTGCCGCTTCTTCTTCTTAAAAAAAACGAAAAAATGGAACACAGCTGGCATAAAAGCTGGCATAAACTGTCGCTCACTGAGAACGTCAGTCGATTTCTACTTTGCATCTTACACACTGCTCAACAGCTGCTCAATGATTTTCCTGTGCAATGGAATATGCAAACAGGTACTAAAAGAGTATTTTGATTCTAAGGATTCTAAGAAAGAGTACAAAATCCGCTTATTTTGCATCTTATTTCAGGCTTTGTGCTGTGCTTTTTTGTGTAAATGTGTGTTTGTTCAGCAAACGTATCGGCAGAAAAAAAGTCAATTGTGGCGTCTGAACTCCAGTCTCCTATCACCTTAGAATCCCAGTCTTTGAAATCTGGAATGGTCTACCAATAGCGGCTCATATGAAAGCTCTGAAGCACAACACTTGGTTGAAGGGGTTGTGCGAGAAGTGCTCTAGAAGTACGTCGCACCATCCCATGGGCGTCATTTTCATGTACCTAATTTTGGCGACACCGCAGAAGTAGGCTTCAGCATTTATATGACATGGAGTGCGCGAGGAAAGACGAAATAAGTCTCCCTGACATTCCGGTTCAAATGTGTTTTATAAATGCCTGGGATACCTACTCTGGACACTCACGCGCTTTTTAAGACGGCTTCAAATTCTGGTGTGGGTTACTCATTCAGGCACAATGTAGGCATCTGCATAATTCTTCTGATTTCGGATGACGATGTTTGGCGCCCTTCATTGCCATTCTCCTTGAGTATAAGCTAGTGGGCGGTATGCAGGTATAGCGCTATCATTGGCCTGTTAAAAAAAAAAACTGAACAATGTCATTGTGATACGACTATGGTCTTGTAGGGATATTGAACTTATATGACGGTATCACCGTATATTGTCAATCTTAAAAGTAATGCCTCGTAATTTTCTTAGAGCTGATCCTTGTTCAGTAGCTCGCATTGAAGAAGAAGCGAAGACCAAATTCAGTTATGTCAATAGCTTCCAACAAAATTGACATGCAAACATAATTCATCTTAGCGTCTTTTCCGGTACATTTTCTCACCAAGCTGGTTCCCCGCTGGCCCGTAGTTACATATGTAGGTTCTGACCGTACGTTCCACCGGATATGAATTGGCGCTCTTCAAACCGATAAACCCACAACCGATCTTAGTGGTCCCAGCCCATATGAGCTGGGTAAGACGGAAAGAAGTAAATGAAGAACAACAAGTCAAATTCTTCTGTTTTTTCTTGAAGACAGGTAGCTCTTGCAGGAACCACGAGTTAACAATTACGTCAGTCCAGTTCTTGCTATTGCTGGGCCCCTCCGAAGTGGTGATGCTTTGTCCTACTGTGAACCTTGGAACGTTACGACACTCGTCGCTGTATACTTCCTGGCACTGATCCGACCAGCGCTGGGCCACAGTGGCCAGCTCCTCATCCCACTTCAGCTCCGGCATCTCCTTAGCCGCCGGCAGGTTTTTGTCGGCGTACACTCCCTCCTTGACGTCCCGCCGGATGGTGTTGTGGG